CCCCCCCCTCCAACGGTCTTCTTCCATTGAACTGTTGTCATGTTTTCTGTTGTGTTTTGTTGAACCTCGACGCGTCTCTGTCTGTCATTATAAGAGTACATTTGAGCGTTCGCTGTTCGATGAGTCGAACATCGGATCTTCAGGATGTGGATCCCCATACCACCGAAAATATCACAAAATATGAAGCGCCCGTTAGAAGCCATAGAGATGTTTACATTAAGCCTTCGGAAACCTCACATCGGCAAAAGCTGAAAAGAATTAATGACAACTGTCAACCAGTGTTCATATCGCGGACCTACCGGAAACGACGCCTGGCACACAGAGGACGGCTCTAAGAATGGACTGTTTAATGGGTTCTGATGCTCTGGTGTTGACCTCTGAAGTGTTACGTGAATTTGTTACTGAATTTACGCAAATACAGTCATTCAAATGATGACGGCGGAAAATTCCTGCGCCGGACGACTTTCGGTCCCCCTCTTTGTGCGTGACTGCATTTTATGAGACGTGTCAAGTGGAACACCTACGAAAGAAAGCGAAGGCCGCCGCCGAGTTAATTTAGGGTCGTTGGTGGAGACGTCGGGAGGCAGCTGGCGAAAGCGTGCCGAGAATAGCTACGCAATTGCGCATGGGTTTTTGCGACTGACCACCAAATATGCCGCCCTGCCACCCACCTCTCAGCGATCGCGACGATCGGGCGGTTTGTGCTTTCTCCTACGACCAGCTGTCGAAGACTCATTACGATGATTGACAGTAGCTCCACACTCGCCTCGCCAGTTGCAGTTGCAGTGGTCCTCCTCCTCCTTTTCCTCCTCCTCACCCTTCTCCTCGTTGTCGTGAGACATTGTGAGCATCGAGAACTGACGATCGAACTGACGACAAAGCATCACCACCGTCGTCGTTTCATGTTTTGCACTTTAGAACTGGCCAGGGAAGAGTGAACGAACGTAGTAGTTTGTTTGGTCGACCTTGTTTCGTCGACGTGGTCCCCACTTTCACCGTAGACGCAGGCGAAACATCCTCCTGCATAGCACCACTTTAGCGGCGACCAGGAAAGATGATGAAAAAACGACACGTCTTTGAAGATAATTGACTAATTCGGTCCTATAAAACAGCTGCGCACGTTTTACACTTCATTAGTTGTTTGCTCGGCTGCACAAGTTGTCAGTCGGTGAACGCCTCACCGCTACCTGCGCCTCCTCCGCTCGTCTCCTCCGTCATCTCGACGCAGGTGATTTTACCTCATTTCGTCGTCCCCGTAACCCAATTGACGAGATAGCAGCGGCGCTTCGCCACCCGGACCCCACCCAGCCCCCCGCCCCCGCCCAACCGCTTGTGCACAACGACTGGACCTCGAAATTCGAATTCGCTCCCTTTCG